GTGAGATTAAAGCCCACCCTAATTCCATCAATGTAGACTATTTAGGAGGTCTCTATTCATAAATTACTCATACATTTGATTATAACTTGCTTTGAAAGTCAATTTAATKTCTGGTTTCTGAATATTCATATGAAATTCGCTTCCATTTTTTTCTGGTGAGGAAAATGTGTRTATAAATTAATTGCCTAAATTACTCTGGAATTGGTAGTTCATTGGCATCATTTTGACAGCATAATGACAGTCCTCATTCATACTTAGATTTCATAGAGATGCACATGCTTAAATGTTACACTATTAGTAATATTGTGCTTCTTGGAGACAATCTTAAACATTTGTTATTATGAAAATGTATGTAAAAACAAGTATAAACAAGTTTGGCAGGAGAAATACAGTGTTTAAGACCAGTGTATTACCTAGTGGTTTATATCTGGTAAATTTTGTACTCTTTCTATGGATTTATGGAAGTAGCTTATCCCAAAGTACTTCAATATAAGTAGTTGGGAGTTTTAACCTAAGTGGGCTTGACTCTCTTTGATTTGAATATGCATATTCTTTGTTAATGTCATTGCCTAAAATAGTTATTCCCACTTCTCCAAGAGTTTTATCCAAAGTGAGTCAAGCGCTATGGGAATTAAGGAGAATTCTAGCAAGCTCTGATGATGCAGTTTGAGAAGTGACTCTTGGATTTTAGTGAGTAGAGAAGACTGAGAGAGGGTAAACTGTGAGAGGAGAGAGTACAGACACTGAATTGTTGATTTTTACAAGGAGTTAYTTGGTCTTGTGTGTGCAGCCATTCCAGACCTTTCCCAACCTTTTACTCCTTTCTTTTTTAAATCAAGAATATTATAACATCATAGGCTTTCTTTTGGAGTTTGGTGTTTTAATAGTATTTTTTTGAGCAGATTCTAAAAATGAGCTCTTAATTGCTGGTAGAATGTCTCGTTCTTTCTTGAAGGATCTAGGTTCTTTTAATTGTTTAGCTTTGGTACCACATGAATTTCAGAATTAACATCATCTTTACATTGCTGTGTCTTCGTGAAAGCTCCACTTGTTTTTCTTGGACCATATTTTTGAAAAAAAACCCACGTTTCAGCCTCAAGGGTCTCTGAGGGAGGCCCATTTCACTGAGGTTAAAGTGGGAATTCATTTTAGTGCTTATCCTGTCTCTTAGAACCTCAGAATCACGTTTTTGTTTTTGTTTTGTTTTTTTTTAAATACCATTCTAAGAAATAAACCTGTTCAAATTACATGGATTAGAATAAAAATATTTAAGGRATGAGTCTAAAGCAGTGTAAACCAACAGTGTTTTACTTTGACAAAAGCAGTGCAGRGCTATAGAGTTTGGGTATAGAACACATTAAACTAACTGCAATATCCAGGCTCTAGATGTCACTGTAGACATTGTTTTGAAAGGAAGTAGACTAAATGACCACTTTCCAAATTACCTGAATGGGCGAAAGTGCTTTAATAAAAATCTGTAAGGTTGACATAGTCATGCTACATTTTTCTCCCTTTTAGACTTTTTGTGAATGTGATCATGGAGTGTAGAATGCTTGGTCATTTTCTGCTGCACAGGAAAATTTGCACCTTATAGCCCATGTAAGGTTTAGGAGCCTTTTGGCTGCTTTTGTGCTCTCTTAKCTCCTGGCTGATTAGGAAGGGTTAGACACTTCAGAGTAGACAAAATTAAAGTTTGCTGTAGTCTGRTGCCAGAAACTTCACGACTTGTCCAAGAAAATGCATGAAGGTAGAAAACTCAAGACAGCTGTGCATCAGAAATGTGACTGTTAAAGAACTTTTTCCCTTACCACAACATTTGTTCCTGTTCTACCAACCTAYTGATACAGGACTCAGCCATTCCTTTTATCCTTTCATAACCTTGCTGTGTCAGGAATACCGAGAAGGTGGTCATTGAAAGGGAGTCTTTTCCAATACAAAATCTTATTACAGAGCAGTTTGTGTACGGAGAAATCTTTATGCAAGAGAACAACAGAAGGGAAAGGGGAGTGATKTGGGTCTGAAATGAGGATCTTGTCTTTTGCTGTAGAATTCTCACTGCAATTTGAGTACCATTTGTCATTTGCTTATTTTTGCAATAACTTTWACAGAATGTTTTTTATCAGTAAAGCATCAAGAGATTTTGCAATCTTTTGTTAGCCTCTATTGTGATATTTATGCAGAATTTTCCATAGTTACAAATATCTTGTTATAAAAGCATCTTTTAATATAACTAATGTAAGTTTAATCAGTTTAATCACATCATGAGCTTTGGTTGCTGGGGTTTTATCCTTAATTCATTCCRAGTACTCCATCTTTGTTCTATGATTTCCATGCAGCTTGAGTACTTCTATGTGTTACTGATTAGTAAATCGATTAATGTACAACTGGAGTCAGGATGAGCTTGTCAGCGAAATGCAGGCATCCAAAATTTTCATTATGGGTTTATCTTGGTAGATATGAATGCTTGTTTCCAACATGCGATCATCTAAATAGAAAAACCCAACAAAGCAAAAATACACAGATTCTGCCATCTCTGTCATTAAGATTCAGTTCAGTATTTCTGTGACTGGGAGTCAAAACCCTTTTTCCAGGGAGCAGAACCAAGCCTTATGCACTTCTGTCATACASAGATCTGAGCTGGTCTAGGTCACCTGAGACTTGATCTGTGGATAGAGTGGCATGTTGATTTTTGTGTTACACAAAACTTAACCAGTGTTAGGAATTCTGAGAGCACATTCAGTTATCACTTCTGTCTTTTGTTGTCTAAACTGCTTTTAGCTCAGCACTTCAGATTTTGCTGGTAGAGTTCAACACTTACTTACACTTCTGCTTTTCAGCATATCTCAAAAATTAGTAAAACTAATTTATATGTGTTTATGTGTGTTTATGTAACTGTRTATTCAACTGTATAAAAAATAATCAGACTAGAATCTGCTCTTTAAGACCATCTTCCCTGTTTTGTTACTTTGAATAACAAGAAATCTGTTGCATGTTACTTTCCTTCTACTCTTTTCATTTTGACACAAAACTACTTTAATGCTTTCTGGGGACATTCAGTAATAATTGGTGCTTTTCCTGTATTTTGTAGATCTTACTAGATYCTTGAGATCCAGCAGCAACTTCTTGGTGAGGATTTTGTTGCACATTCAATTGTGAAAAAAATTGTTAAAAAAAAACCACGACAGGAATTGAAGTGTCCTACCTGGCCACATTTTTTTCTGAGGAACAGTTCCTCATTYAGTGTAGAAGTTAAGAGACTCCAGGAATAAAACTTTCAGTCTTTTTTTTCAATGTTTCTTCAGGCAACATGCTTTTYCACCTTTTTATGGTCAGTCCTGTGCCTCTGCTTCCTGTCTCAAGGCCCTTGTGTTTGTTTTGTCCAGCCCTTTTCTTATTGATCTGTTAGTATGTTCAGAAGCAGTTTTGCTGAGAAGTATATTTGTGCAGCTCGGCCTTCCTGGAGCTGAACATTTACATTCTTTCTGATCACTGTATGTTGAGAAGTGTATTTATGCTGTTTGGTCTGCCTGCAGCTGGACGTTTACATTCTTTCTGATCACTAAATTTATATGTTTCAGTACTTTGCTCACACAGCCAAAAAACTCATGTCTTGTGATGGATGAGCTGGCTTCCCATGCAGCACATTTGAATGGCTTAGCCACAAAATTTGACAGACACTTGTGGTCTCTAAACTGCTTTGCAAACCAGGTGCTGTKCTTATTTGCCTTACGATTTTGTGTTCACTGCAATAGAAATGAATTGTTTGGGTTTTTTTTTAAATTAAACAATTCACATGTCAACTGCTAACTGTTTTATACTTCTGATTTGGCACCGGGATGTCTAGTGATATAAGAAGTTTATCACATGAGCTGAGTTTTGCTGTGTTTTTATATCCCTTGCCTGTGCCTTTAAGTTTTGGGAGCTTTTTCCTCCATGAACTCTGCTGTCAAGTGCTAGACCAATGCAGGACTCAATCTGTAGTTTCTCAAATTGCCTATATGCACAAAAGCTTTTTCACTATTTGAAACAAGAAAAACTTTGAYRCACTTAAAAATGTAAAGGACATCATCTTTAACAGATTATATAGGGAAAAAGTCAGGCATRTGTAATTTTTTGGTAGAAATGTAGAGTGGGATCTTGCTAAGAGTCTATCACAAAATTGTATTTTTTTAGTAGTTCCCAAAGTTCTGTTCATTTTCTTGCCTTTTTTGTTAAGGACTGGGGAGTAAGTGATTGTGACTAGAAAAGTGTGGAAAGAATGACTTCAGTTTATGCTGTCATCAAAAACTCTGTGTTAAGAGAAACARCCACAGGCAGGCATTGTGTTGAGGTAACAACTGCAGCTTCATTCCCTATAAAATGTACTTCAGGAAGGACAGAAGGAGTGGGGTTCAAGTTTGTGTCTGTGCAAATTATAAGAGCACTTTGGTAGTGAACAGCTTTGCTCACCTCRTCTTGCAGCTATTGGTCTAAAACCAGTCCTGTCAGCAGCACTTAGCCCTCTGGAAGACTTTACCTGCTCAATTCTTGCTGTAGTTACTTGGCCATCAGTTGTGTAGCACAACTGGGGTTCMGCCATCCCAAGGAAAATGTCTGTGCTTCATTGAACTTCTTTTGTAAAGGAAACCTGTATCCAAAACTTCTATTGATAGAAAGAGAGAACTGGATTCTCAACTTCAGCCTTGTTTTTTGCCTTCTTCCTTGATTTTTTAGGTAATCAGGTCAAATAATACTAAGTCCACAGGTCAAATGWAAAATGTCTTTTGCACTAAATTGAATGGGTGTTACACAGTTCACTGTACAAATGGCTTAGATTCATTTGGATCATACGCATCAGATTTATTATGGCTAATGCTGATGTAGCAAGCAAGATGATTTGAAAAGAAAATACGTTACCATTTTATTTAAATATTTGCAATTTTCTATCAAAGCCTGCCTAAATGTAGTTACAATTAATTTATTCTTATTTATATGAAAATCTTTCCACATTYGTTCCCACATCATCCAACATCATCATTTTGTTTTGGATGTTGTGGTGTGGATTTTGTAAACAGGCCATAAAGACTTTTTTTAAACGTTTTGTCTAGCAGAAGGGTTATAACTGGATCTAAACTACTTTTAGCAGCAGCAAGACAAGTAAGGAAATTTTTAATTTCCACTAGATAATTTAACCTTGGGCAGTCATTATCTATAAGCAGTACATAGAAAATTGGCCTGAAAATATGATATGGAAGAAAGCAGACAGTTAATATCATCTGGATGACAAGAACGTTTCTTTTCACTGTTCTGTAAATTAGATGTTTTTCTCGGATACAGGTATTTTTCTGTACTTTGCTCAGATGTCTGGTAAGAGAATAGTACGACCACAAAACTGTCATAAAAGACAGAAAAAAGCATGTGGTGGCAAGACAACCTGCAATCATTGCAGGACGTTCCCCAACTTCTACCCTGATGTTGTAGCACGTGGGGAACTCTGCTGAAGTCTCCTCCTGGGTGTTGTATGTGATGGCTGTGACTGTTATGCACAGCACAATCAGCCATATCACCACACACAAACATTTAGCAAACTTTGACCGCCGGAATTTCTGAAGCAGGCGCCCGTAGAAGTTCCCCAGGAGCGCTTGGGAGTATTGGGCACTGTTCTTCTTGAGCGTGGCATACTGGCTGAGGGCAATGGAGCACAGGATAACGATGGTCACATACATGCTGACGTGCATCACCAGTGTCCCCAGGTGATGGGCGATCCTGCACGCCACGGACTCATAGGGCCAGCGGTGCCCATCCACAAAATAGGCGGCCAGGAAGGGCATGGTGCTGCAAACCAGCAGGTTTGCAGTCATGAGGTTGACCAGGTAAATGTACTGGGTCCTTCGTGTGGGGGCTTTCCGTGAAAATATCCAGGCAGCAAGAATGTTTCCAAAGATTCCAGCAAGAAGCAGGCAGGAGTAGATGATGGGGAGAACTACAGTGGTAGCTGGCGATGGCTGAAGACACAYTGAATTGTTCATTTATGACAGTTTTTCTTGAGTTGTCAGAACTGAAACACAATTAAAATATTATTTTTCTGTAATGTGCATCCAACATCTCTTTGCTCTTATCTCAGTTGGTTTTTTTTGTTTCCCCTAATTTCAGTGCTCCTAACACTGCTATTATCTTAAATTTGCATGAGGTTACAGTTTGGATGTTCTCTTCCACTTAGATTTCATGAAGAAAAGTTAAACCTTGAAGCTTTTACATGGATAGAATCTAATAAAATAAATTAGAAAGCTGAAGGTTCTGGCTAGGGTCTGGCAGTAACTCCTATGATCTTGGTTTATTTCTCAGTCTTCTGGAACATTTGTAACCGGATTTGGAAACCACTTACAGACCATTTAAAATTAAATAAACAAATTAAGTGCAAAGAATGACTTTTGTTGCAGAAATGCAGAAGAGTRTCTGTACCTCCATTTAAGTACAAATTAGTCTGTGCATGCTGCAGGAATCTGGCCATATATATTTGTTTTGTCCTCATGTCTGTGTCTGGTGTTACTTTATCAGAGCTCTAATCTCAGTCTATATTTTTTAACATATACAGTGGTTGTTGAAAACTTCAGTGTATTTTTTTTTCCAAGTTCGTTTTTCAATCTTCTCTCAGTTTCCAAACTGAAAATAAGAAATAAAAGCTCTGTACAATGACTGTGTATAAAAACTGTCATTTCAGTTTGCAAACCTGTATTGGAGAGCTTTTACTGTTGTATGTATACATATTCATGTATGTTTTAGTGGAGTCTACCCTAGTTAGCTTTTGTTTCATATCAAATCATGTGAAAAAAACTAACAGATTTCAAACTTAAAAACTGATAATTTTTTTAAACAGCTGTAAGCAAATGAACTCAGAGGATTCTGTGTAACRATGATAAAAAGCCCAGACACCAAATATAAAAACCGTGCTGTAGGCAGGGGCAAGTTTTGACAAACTTGCAAATTAAACTAATTTTTATAGCTCTTGCATTTTAGTGTTCTGTATTATTGTTGAATCAAAATATATTAAATTCTTTTATTACAATGAGTTAAATCCACAAAGTAATTGTTCAATTTACTCATTTTAGAAGTCAAAAATTTGTATGTTGGTGAACACATTCTACAAGTACAACAAAGAAGTAGTGGTTTTTAAGCTTACCTATACAAGCTGCAGGCACCTTCCTTTGCTGAGAGGAAATATCTCTGTGTGGTGTCCGTTTTATCTCCACTGTGCAGTGAGAACGATGGCACTGGAGTCTGGAGAGTAGAGTTAAGAATTATTTCTCTCTGACATGTGTGTTTTCGGAGTGTACACTTTGCTTTGCAATGTCAGAAGGCAGCTGGGCATTTAAAGTTCAGACAAGATGTCTGTACAAAAAACACTTGGAAATCAGGTCAGGATCAGCTCCATTAGGTGAAAAAAAAAAAAAAAAAAAGATTGAGATGGAAGAGCAATTGTCACAGTCCTTTAGGTACGGCACAGAAACACCTTGCAATCCTTTATATACTGCTTTCCTCTTTCTGGGGGTGGAGGGGTTCTCTTTAGGACTGCCCACCTTCCTTCATGCTGCTGTTTTATGCATGAAAATTGTCTTTTCAATGGCATTTCACAATTCCTCAGCTCCAAGAGTTATCACATGCTGTCTTTCCCAAAGCCCATGTGCAATAATACTGTGTCCATGTCTGTCCTCTCATGAGTGACCAAATGGGCACATCTCTTATGTCTGGTCAGGTGGTAGGTTGTGTGGAAGCAATTTACAGCTGATACATCCTAGGTTCSTTCAGGGAAAATGGACTGATTGTCCAAGAAATGCGGTGTTTTATGCAAATCATCCAAAAGTATGCACAGGACAATTTCCTTCCTCCACAGCTTAGGTATGTATGATCACAGATCCAGAGTCTGTATAAATGGAGATTTTGAGTTTTCTCCTTTCTCATACATCTGTGGTTGCCAGATAAGCTTTTCAACAGCTATAAATAAGTTCCTTTATGAGAACAGAAGAGGTACAGTATAAAAACTTCTGCAATTTTGGTAAGGTTCTTGTTTTGCTAGTTTTGCTTTATATTTAAACATGAACTGTGAGAATTCACCTCATGATCTGTTATGAATGTTATTGTTCAGTCTCATTAATACTAATTTTTTTCCTGAAACAGTAGACATGTAAGCTGGCTTCCTATTGTGGATTTATAGCTAAACTCATTTATAATTATATTTACTTGCTGTGAAGTATTAGTAATTAGGTTGTAAAGCTGYAATTAGTTTGCATGTACTTTAATTCTTGTTCTTGTTAGATTTAATTATTCCTTGTTTTCCACTTTTGAATGTATAGTTATATTAAAAATCGTTTTAACAGGATCTTGTATTTCTTACATGTTTAATGGTTTCTTAACTAGTGTTAGTAATCCTTGTTACTGTGGTAACTGAGGTTTAGATATAAGAATGCATAAACTGAAAAGTTGCTGAGAGTGGTGTGAACAAATCCAATTAGCAGGTTTATTTAAATTATTTTTATTTGGTCAGTTATTGACGGTTGCCTCTAGTATTTATAACTTAATGACAATAACTCATGCTGTAAGAAGAGATAATGCTACATTTTTTTTCTGAATTATTGTGTGATAATAGATTGTTGTAGTGAATTACAGTCTCTCAGGCTGTATTTTGKAATGGACTACTGAGAGCAGTAACAAAGTAATGAGATATTATAAGTTTTTTAAAAATTCTGCCTATCTCAGAAATACAGTTACAGCTGGTTCTAAGCTGTAGCAAGTAAGTACCTTCCTTATTCTTTCAGTGGACTATTTCCATTCACCCAACTTATAAATGGTGTATTTTATCTATTGTATTTTATATTTGAAAATAATCAGATAGAGCAAGTATATTTTTTAGGCCCTTCACTCTTAAGTTCTTCATAACTGAGTGCATCATTCACCCCAATGATTTCTATTTTCTGTATTCTCAAACCATGATCACTCTTCATTTATACATGTTACTAGATTTTATATTGCCAATAGGCAGCATATGTTGCATTTCATCATTATATGCAGACAACTTGTTTTCCGGCCCTAAAAACACGAAACCCAGGAAATTCCCAGTGGTGAAATTCCTCAACTTCAGCAAGGCTTTGACACTGTCTCTCACAGCCCTGTGTGTGCTGTCAGAGCATTAAACTAAAGCTTCCATTAGTGAACTTCCCAGTTCTGGGAATAATGTGATTCTCACTTTTTCAYCAGTGATGTAAATTGCACTCCTCTTTTATGGTTTCATTGCCAGCATTGTTAGGAAAGTAATTCAATTAAATGTTTCCACKTTGTGTTATCAAAATAGTTGGTATTTGTCTGCCCTCATGAGAAACACCAATTTGCAGGTTAAAACSATAATTACAGTTAATTCCAGTGTGAAAATGAAAGTTGATGCTGTGGTTTAGCTCCGGCAGACAGATGAGCCCTCACAGCCGCTCACTCACTCCTCCTCRGTGGGATGGGAAGGAGAATCAGAAGGGTAGGAGTGAGAAAACCTATTCATGATTTCTGCCTCTTCCTCCTCTTGTTGTGATATCTTTGTTGCAGAGCTGACCTCCCCTTCTGGTGCTCTCTCTTGCTCTGTCTGACACCTTCTGATGAAATCTGCCACTATCTTGAGCCCCTGCCATTGGGTGTCAAAGGTGGTTGTGGTTTAAGCCCAGAAAGCACCTAAATCCCACACATTCGCTTACTTCCTCTCTGGTGGGCTGGGAGGGAGAAYTGATAGGGTAAAAGTGGAAAYTCATGGTTTGTGATGAAGAGTTTAATATGAGCGTAAGAAAAAGAAAAGCATAAAGAAAAAGAAAAAAAAAACCAAGAGAGAGAAACAAAATTAAAAGAAAAAAAAAAAACCAAGTAGTAGAAAGCAACCCCAGCTGACCAGTGCCCAGTGAGTTCCTGAGAAATGGCAGCACAGCCAAACTTCCTCCTTGGCTTCAATTGCTGAGCATGGCACYGTGTTCTCTGGGATATCCGTGGGGTCAGCTGTCCCTGCTGTGTCCCCTGCCATGTCCTTGTACACTCCCCCTCTTGCTGGTGAGGTATTCTTTGAGGCAGAGAAGTCCTGCAGGTTGTGCAAGTGCTGCTTGGCAATGGCAAAAGCATCTGTGTGTTATTGACACTGCTTYGATCACAAGCCCAAACCACGGCCCATATTGTGAAGAATCCCTCCCAGATCTTAGCCAAATCTGTCTTTAAGCCAGCCAAAACCAGCCCAAGACTGGTAMTTTTTGGTACACCAGTTGAAATTCAAGGATGTGTTACAGATTTGAGTAGAGAGGAGAATGMGGTTCRTGCAGTTATATGGGGATGTACATCRAGTTAGCCTTTAAATACAGAATGCAAAATAAATAGAATTGCTTTCATGTTAAAATTTACCTGAAGACTCAGGTAATTAGGAAACACTGAGAAGAGAAGTAAGACATACTATTTAAGTGACTGATCACATGCTCATTTGACATGTCATGGTGTAATTTTTAGCAGATCTCCCAAGATAATTCAGGACTGGTTGCCTTTCAGTAATATTTTTTTGTAAAGCCTGGCATTTTGCTCTCAAGTTTGAGAAAATTGATTGCAGAAAAAAATTAGTAAGGATTAAATATTTTTTATAAAGAGTAAAGATACCTACGTTTGTATCTTGGTCAGTAGTAATTGCTTCCTACATGTCAGTGCTGTCTAGTTGCAGATCCCTTTCTGTGCCAGTTGATACATCTGGCCATCAACATCTTGTAGCATTGATTTATACAGCTGTAGAAATCCAAAAGTATTTACTGATTGCTTTTTTTGGTTGTCTCTTTGTTCTGACTGCTGCTGCCTGTCAAGATCATTTAGTCATTCCTGTTTCCCTCTTCTGTGCCATGCCTGTTSTCAGAGACTTTCTTACAGACCTATTCCCTTTCAGATTTTCATTTCTGAGATGGAGATGGTTTATTTAATGCAGTCTGAATTTTCAGTATCAAATCCCTATAYTATTACTTGATTTTCTGAAGAGATCTATTTTTGTAATCCTGCTGTGTCCATGAATTACAAACCTTGTAAATGAAAATTCTAATTTTAACACTTCGTTCAAAAGAATTTTAGAATTTATATTTTATTCAAGCCACTGTTGTTCATGCCTATCCTGTCCTGAGTTCCCCAGCCCACGCAACCTCACCCTGACCTGCTGATCAGTGTCATCAACCAACTGCTTGCAGAATAAGCAYAGACAAAGAAGGAATGATGAGATAACATATATATCTTGTGAAATTATGGTTTATAAACTCTACTGGATGTACCAGAGTCGATGTAACTATGTGGAACTACAGTATTGCATAATAGAATTGCACTGTACAAATAYAGAACCAAGAGAAGCATTAATAGAATAGGATGACAAAATGATAGATAAAAGATGGTGAAATGCAATTATCTGTGAGAATCAGAAATTATTGTACAAACACCTCTGTTGTAGGCTGAAATGTTTTAAGAAAAAATGCACTTACTAATGTATATTTATGAAATTACATGTTTGTGGGAATCTTTTTTTTTGAAGATTAAGCAACCCCATGATTTTTTATTAAAGAATGGAAACAAAATACCCTGGCTAGTCATTGTAATTTGTTTAATGTGTTTGTATCTAGTTTCAGCAAATCTGAATGATGTAAAATCACATCAAAATTAAACCAAGTTTCTATGTAGCAGAGGTTAAGTCTTACATTTACTTTGTTCAAGCAGAGTATTACGGGTATCTGCTGTAAAACCACAGTATTGTTTGGAATTGGTAAAAATCCACACATTTTGGCACAGATTTGGTATTAAATATCAYGTGATCCATTAGAGAGGTTACTAGTAGTCATAATAAAGCAAACTTTTTTACCCCCACTTACTTGAGCAGTATTGTTTGTATGTGTCAAGAAAGCAAATCCTTATTTTGCAGAGCTTAATGTCAGGTCTCTATTTCTTTCACCTTTCTGGTCTGTTATGCCAGACATTTAAGTTGTTCATGATTATGCTGCTTTAGTCATCTTTGTGCCAGAGAGCTCCCACCTTCAGCTCTCTGTTTTTAAGAAATGCTACYGTTTGGAATTTGTGTGTGCCTAAATACATGAGGCTGTTCTGTTTAAATCTGAGGATATAGCTGCATCTATGCAACATTACTGTTACATTGCTATTCACATGGCATCAGCTCTTACCAAGCTTATTTTAATCACATGGAAAGGGAAGTGCAAGGGAGGAAGCTTGCAGCTGAAATGTGTGGCTTGGAAATCTGTGAGTAAACTGGTGGCTGAGCCTGGCTGTTCTTCTTGCTCGGTTCTGTGAGTTTATATTCCTTGCTGAACTGCTTTGTGTAGCTGCAGTCACCGAATTTGTTATATTGAAGGAAATCTCAGGAAATACCCACGTCATCTCTCCTTCATTCTTTTCTAATGTTGTGAAAGCATTGCTTGCTTTTTCTCAGGTGTTTGACCTTGACACCATTAAAATGTTGCAAATATAACAAGGGACTTAGGAGGATTGAATTTTAATTTTGCTGTTTAATAAAACAAAGTGTGTCTTSTGTAATTATAACTGAAATAATAGCTGTTGTGTTCTACATCTCATTTTTAAGCCACATATGGTGCTAAATTSTCAAATATTTCTTTAAAAATGCATTTATACATGTAGTTAAAATACTAATCTCTTTAAAACCTATTAAAACAGAGAAAACCATAAAATACTTAATATCTGTAAAGGTTTATATAGGTCTTTCAGATAGGACAGAATTTACTTTTTGCAAAATTTATCTATTATTTACATMAGTTACTAATATTAATGTGTATATACAAGGTTACTTCTACAGGTTCAGGTCCCTTCGTGGAAATCTCCCTAAAGAGTTAGTGTTCTAGTTTAGTCCAACACAAGATGTCTGAGAACTTCCTAATTTGTTTTCTTGGATAAACAAGAGCGAAATGCTTCTGAAAAGTAACTTCTCATTTTCACAAACAGAAGTAAGACTTCTCATTTTTCTGAACAGGAAGAAAGAGRCAGGATTAGTAGGCGTAGAAGATTTTGTGATCTGAAATTGGTGTCCTGGAGTGACAGAGATTCATTCAAACATTCAAATCATGGACTTCTTCCTTGAGTAGCTGGAGTGGGGAGGGGTGGTGGATAATCGCTCTTGTGCATATTGGCCAAGTTTTATGTCTGAAGTGCTCTCCAGGTTTAGGCTTGCTTCTCCATGAAGTTTTCTGCAGATCAGTTGGAACACAGTCTTACGGACACTTCTGGACATTAGGAAATACATAACTGGGTCTAGGCAGCTGTTAAATGATGAAAATATGAGCATCACCTCATTGCACGTGTGAATGATCTCCTTCCAGTAACAGGATGGGGTTTGTAAYTGTGATGTGATGTAGACAAACCGGAAAATGTGATAAGGCACAAAACAGACGGTGAAAATTATGAGAACGATGAAAGAATTTCTTGCTGTCATGGTGTATTTTCCTGCATTGGGAAAATTTGCCCTTCTCCTTGAAATTTTCAGAAGGTTCTTGGCAATTTTAATGTAYGAAAGTATGACAAGGAAATAAACTATCCAAAAAATAAGTACAGTGATATAATTTAAAATTGCTTCTGTCTTTGCTTTCTGTTTACTTCGGTAATGAAAGCACAAGGTAGAGTTGCTCTCTTCAGTCTTAAAGAAAGATGGTGCAACTACTACTATAAATCCTGTCAGTGCAACTGCCCAGACCATGCAACAAATCTGCACACTCCGGGTAGTAGTTAACATCTTTGGACGCTTCACAGACTTATTTATTTTTATATAACGATCAAGACTAATTAGTCCCAACAGTACTATGCTAATATACATGTTCATGTAAAACAGAGTTCCCACAATCTTGCATAAAATCCACCCAAGCCGGATCACGCTGGCGTGATAGAGTATCCGGAAGGGAAGACAGAAGATCAGCAGAAGGTCTGCAACAGCTACGTTTAGCAAGTAAACCTGGATAGAATTCCTTTTCTGATGAATGCACAGGAAAGCAAACAGGGCTATAATATTTCCAACCAATCCAACGACAAAAATAATGGAGTAAAAAACTATCAAAGCAAATGACAGTGAGTTCTCATCTATGGTACAGCTGGCATCGTGAGTCTCTGAGGCATTTGTGGTTGGGTTGGTTTGGTTACTCCTGAATGTTTCCGTGTGTGGAGTAATGGTTAGTAAATCAGCTGAAGATACAGCCATCATTTGCAATGGGTTTTCAGCCACTCTGCAAAGAAACAAAGAGAAATTTTAAGAATTAAATCACCATTCATGTGTCAGTTCGCTTTACTGCCTACAGTCTAAATGGATATAAACACAAATGGTAGTAGCCAAAAGGAGTAAATGTCCCCAAGTGTTGGTGTAGCTGAATAGAACTTTCAGCCAGATGCCATGATATAAAGTAAGCCTAGAAAGGCAAGAAAGAGCAGATAGTATAGAGTACCCACACAGATAACTATTTCTGTAATTGCATCTTTATTACTGTCTTGTGTTGTTTTAAAAGTCAACCAATCCATTCTCCTGCAAGCTTAAGAAATTTAGGCCTTTTTATCTRTAAGCACAAATATTTTTTTAAAGTTCACTTGTTAGTATCAGCCTTTCTAACACAGAAAAAATTTTAACTAAGGTGCAGTGACAGGTAAGCATAGCTAAGTATTCTCAGTGTTGATGCAAAGTACATAGGAATGTATTAAAACAAATCCAAATTCATCTGTGTTAATTATAAGTACCCAGGATCCCTCTGATGGAGCTCACTGGTTTTCAATTTGAAAAGATCATTTGTCAATTAATATTTATTTGGCTATATAATGTGTTRTAAGTAACCCTGTGAGACAGTGTTATTGCAGTAGCTTGTCTTTAGTAATCTGTATGTTAATATAAATTTAAGTGGTTTTTTCCTTTTCATGACTATTCACAAATCAGTATTACACAAATAAACTACTGTTAGCTGGAAATCACATTAATGCAGTAATGCAGATTGTTTTCAAACCTTCCTTGTTTTCATTGTTTTCTTTGCTTTCATTGGATTAATTAATTCCACTAAGCTTATTGCTGACCAGGAAGGTACAATGTGAAAGGTAAAAGTCAGCTTTGACCAAGGAAGGAAAACCAGAAAAGTGTGTGGTTTAAAGAATGGTCACACTGAGCCACTTAGAGAGATGCTTCTTACTGTAAAGTTATGATAAAATCTTCAGCTTGWTTGTCATAGGAACAACAGATACCATGAATAAGTTTATTCAGAATATTTTTGTTTTGCAGAGGAAAAGGGTTTTTTCCCCTAATCTCACAAAAAAATTCAGAAGTGGTTTTGATGAACTAAACTTAGTTGTCTGGCAACTGTTAGAGAAAAAAAACAACAAAACACTGCTGTATAAGTAACCTTAAAATAGCTTTTATGCTAGGTCTTAAAAAATGCAAATTTATATTGAATTCTGTGATACAGCTACAACAGTGAAAATGGCAACATTTCAGGTAAAATTCTTAAGAAAACCTAACATTTTAACGTGCTATGTTGTCTGATTTTACAGTTGCATTAAACTTAGAGAGTGTGTTAGCAGTTTCAAAAACAGCTGTTCTCATRTCTCATGATATCGTCGGGGCAAGAAGTAATTTCAAGAGTTTGATTTTAAACTGCAATGCCTTTCAAGTACATCTTGAAACCCRTCTACTTCTGTGACTTCATGTTTAAGTTGCTTTCCTAGAAAATGTCTGACATAGYGACTTGCATAAGCAGTGGCAAGTTTAGGTCAATGAGAGAGAAACTTGTGTTACCCTGCAGATGCATTGAAAATTTAACTTTGCACTATTGTGTCACCTCTAAGCAAGCAAGCATACTTAAATCTAGGTATACTTAGAAAAAAAGGGTTTGGAGGTCAGTAAATCCTTTGCAGTTAAGAGAAATTTTCCATTTAAGAGACATGTTAATATAGGTTTAYTTTACTACAGAGTAAGTAAAAAAGAAGCCACTTACCATTTATGTGTTCAGAACTTCTGCTGGTTCTCAGAACCACTGGTGAACATGGGGAGAAGAAACATGCAGGTCCTCTTATTAGAAAGCTACAGCAGGAGCTTCTCTATGAAAGTCGTGAGGCTCAGCTGACACGCACCATTGGCAACAAGGGGAAGTTTTAACTAGTGTTGTAACTGCTTTGGTGTTTTTTTAAAGGCATTTTTAACTGGCAATACCCAGATCATTTGRGCTTGGCTGGGAAAGGTTCTATAACAATTTTTTCTCAGTTTTGCTCTGATTTGGAGATTTGAATTTTTTTCTCAGAGACTTTGTTTCTGGTGAGCAGTCTCAGTGGCATTTTGGGTGATAATGATGTTGGTGTAATCTGTAATCTCTTCAATACTTCATGGAAACAGTGTCRCTTTTTCAAGTGTAGGGTAAATATAAATCAACACCGCAGTGRAATGGTACATTTTGTTAATGTTGTTACAGCTTTCCCATCTACCTTCTTCCTTTTCTGGGATTAGAAATGTTGTTCTTTTTCACTCAAAATTGCAGCAATGAGAGGATGTGAAAGTGCCCAAAGTGTGCAGCTGAACCATTTCACTAAGACAGAAGTGAAATACAATATGCAGCAATAATACCACCTGGTAATGCTCTCTCAAGTAGGGCATAAGGAATTGAAAATTTCATTTATAAAAATTGGACATTTAGGAGTGACTTCTAGAAGACCTGATATAAGAAGGCCTTAATTTAATGAAGCTCTCAAGAACTTTGTGTTGAAGGTCTTTGTTCTCATGTAATTGAAACTTTRAAAATATATGGGTGGTTACAGATGATGACTTTACAGGTGGTCAGATTGAACTTCTGRTAGCTCCTGTGCACTCTTTTGAGTTCTTAGTTTTGTAATTTAAGCAGTAGTGTATTCTCAGGAAGCAGTGTACAAATTTGAGGTTCTTCTTTTAAAATTGGGTATTGAAAAGAGGGGCTTTGAGTAAATGCAGGAAGTTCTATATTAAATGCAATAGTTTAGGTATTATATTTAATRGTAAATTGTCTTCTAATAGATTTTTGTCTGTATGTTGCTTCCTCCTACAGAAATCRGTATTCATCCAAATTGTTGTATAATATTATTTCATTTTTATATGTTACATCTCACTCTTATTTGTGGATAATTAAATGCATGGATGTCTGTGGCTGGAATTCAGTTTAGAAACCTAAACAGTATCCTTCACTGGAATATCACAGGGATGTTCCTTTTCTTTCCTGCAGTTGAGAAGTGATGAGTGAATTCTGTGATAAAGGCTCAAACTGTTTTATGTTCTCTGTGGGAAGGATAAGACCCCACAAACCATATCRTAGGCTGGATATTTCAGCTGGATAATTGAAATAGTGTAAGGGTTAAGAGGGTGAGCGACAAAAAGGAAAATTAATACCAGGTAAGAAATTATAGACATGAGTTTTTATCTCCACTTTATCATGATTTTACTTTTCAAGCTCCTTTCAAGTTCTGGTAAGTTCTGAAAGGATTTTGTTATGCCTGGGGCAATAGAARGGAAACCAATGAGATGAGTCCATRCTAGAAAAAAAAATACTGAAATTAAGAATTTTTTTAAGCAATCTAACTTCTATTCACAGTTTTATGAAAAGAAGTGCTAAATTATAAATAGTATTTCTCAAACARTATAATAATTTGTCTGGATTTTTGTCTTTTCAGCCACACTGTGTACTGCTTGCCTCAAAAGAGAATTCAGCCCCAGTAAAGCTTGGTGGCTTTGGGGTAGCAATTCAGTTAGGAGAGTCTGGGCTAGTTGCTGGAGGTAAGAAATTTTCCTTCCAAATTATTTAGTATTGTGCATGTTGTACTGCAGAGTTCAGTTCTTCTGACACAGCCTGACCTGCAAAACAGGAGCTCAAATATAATCTTTAAAGGCTTTGTTAAGTTGATCAGTGCATGCAGCCAAACAAAACTGGTAGTGGAATGTAACATTGCGCATTCATACAATGAGTATTAAATCCCTGTAAGTGTTACTCAACAGGAGCTCGTGCTGATTTGGTCAAAATAAAACTGAAAAAAACCAAAGGATTTTCCACTTTAATACAATCTTTGGCTTAATTTTTCTATGCTTGGTAAAGCAAAAAAAAAAAAAAAATGCTGCTGCTGAAGCACTTGAGTAAGGACTTCGAGCAGCATCATCAGTGCTCCCCTATGTTTGATAGGCAATTCCTGACAGAATGCTGTGCTGTTTAATASCAAAATCTTAATAGTTTTCACATGTGATTCTTTCCTGTGCTTTAAAATTTCATTGTAATTATTGCATAAGACATCAATATCTTGATAGTATGTATATTTTTTGACTGTGTTTTGTTTTCTGTGGATTTTATTTCCTCTAGCTGCCTTCCATATTGTTCCAGACAATAGGGTTATGCTTTAATCAGCCTGCACAGATGAAGACCCAATCAATTTTCTGATGCTTTCATTGCCAGAGTAGGAGACCACTACAAAACATTTTATTAGTTTTAATTTTTTTCTTCAGAATGAGTAACATCAATATCATGCTTCTTCAAAAACTYGGATTCCCTAATCTAATCACTTTAAGTTCTGTGTCAATTTGACTTTTGTATTTTTTTAAATAAAAAGCAAATCCAATATAAACATACCAACCTTTCCATTCCCTTCCAGATATTGCTGATACCCTAGAAATAYCCAAGTATCTTACTACTAAAGACATCTTTTCAAAGAAAATACYCATTCAGTTAAGCTTTAATTAAAAGGTCACTCCTTTCTTTACTTTTCTTGTGTTAATCAAGTTATCTGTACCTCAGCCACTGCATTTTGGTGGTAGCTTCTACACTTTTGTTTATAATTATCTCATTTTACTTTTTATGTTCTCACTGAGCAACTTTACCCATTTCTTCTGTTACAGCTACTTTTCTGGAGATAGTCAGATGCAGTGTACTTTCAGTCTACCAGTTGTCTAGTGAGAAACATCAAGTTCAACTTTGAAAAATAAAATTACTTCATTTTTCCCCAAGTTTGCCATGGCCTTTATTTCCTGTTGCTGTTCCCAGTGCTGTGATGCCAGTCACTGTTCCTGTGCTCAGCCTCCATGCAGTCATCAGTGCTGGGGTTCTGCGCTTCCCAAACCTCATCACTGTAATATTTCTCTCTGTTATTGTCCTTTGCTTCTTCCACATCAACATCTGCCATATTGGTCTGCCTTCMTACACTTTTTTTCCCCCTATTTCTCAACTGGCATTTCCAATTTGCAACCTTTTCATTGCCATTTGTTGCTTTCAGCTCCAAATTCCACTCTCTCTCAGAGATACCCAGAGGAATTCCATTTCATTTAGATACTGTGGGAAATGTCAGTTCTGCCTTTTTTAAATTTTSTCCATAACAGACTCCTTCTCTCTTTCTTCTCATCTTCCATTCCACTCTTTATGTCACAAGCTACATCTATTATCTGGCAACTCTTTTCCCTGCCAGAATCCTGCCTGAAGACAAGTTACTAGACAGTTCCCTACACAGAACTGGAAAGATTTTATTTATTCAATTTTACAATATCACCCATATGTGCTATATGGAAGTTACCAATACTGGCTGTTTGACCTGGCTTATAAATTTATTATAAACCAGTGTTTATTTACACACTTGTTTAAGGGTGTTTTCCATATGCCCTATGGACAAATTTTGTTATAATAGAAACAATAATTTACAGGCACTTCTTTTTTCTCAATTGTCTCGTAAATGAAGTAGAAACTCTCCAAACAGAGAAGTTTGAGTGGGATGATTAAGAACCTGTTCACTTTCACATTGCTTTTCTAAGTTKTAGTGAAAAACATTGATTCCTCTTGACGTAGTCAATTATTTCCCTTTTAGCATGGCGATGCCTATATTTGGTGATTAACACATCAGAAAAGAAATTCTCTATTAAATAAAAGCTATCATGGCATTAAGATTATTTTACTGACCTGAAGCACCCTGTGCTTTGTTTGTGCTGTTTTTCCTACCTTTGAACATTGACACACTGTGCCTGGCAATCCCAGATTCTGTGTAGCCCCAGGAGAAAAGCCTAAAGGGAATTTTCTCCCTCCGTGTTTGAAGCTTGCCTTCAAACTTCAGCTTTTGCTTTGTTTAGGACTGCAAATTTTTTTTTTTTACTTGACAGAGACATCTTTAGCAGAGTGTACATAAATTTTTGGGGAAGGACTTTTATAGCAAAGTTAAAACTAAACCCTGGGTATTAAAGGTAGATGAAGCCCAATCTTTTGATATAAGGCCAAAGACACACCTGTGTTCTTTAGAAGGATTGSCACTCCAGGTTCTTTCAAGCAGGTAGTTGGCTGTTTAATAGAATGTAAGAGAGCTCATGGCAACAAGGGGTGACATCATACGAGATGTCATTGATGAAAATGTGTATGGAAGAGTTTTCAGGAGTGACTGCATTTTATCAGCTAACTACTTAGTTGAGGTTATCTTAAAGAAAGTTTAATTATTAATTATTWTTTACTTTATATAAGTAAAATAAAGTACCAAAAGAAAGGAGCGTAGCCATAACTCATTTCTTCATAAGGCCAGAAGGGAAAATGTAAGGATACTCATTGTTCCACTCCATTTGCCCATAAGTTGCAGTAAGTGGATAAGAAGCTTGTGTCTCAAATGACACCTGTCATTTGAGTTACAGGAAATAGGTTTCATGAGSTACCAGTCTCTGAAGGTTTTTTCTTGCTTCAGTTCTTATGATCAGAAGTGGAAAATTGTGCTAAGAGCTTCACTTGAAGCATTGAAATCAGTACTTTTAAAAGGAAGTCTGGCAATCTACACAGATGTTACAGATCATCATAATTTATGAGTGAATTCCTTTTTGGAACRGCACATAGGCAAGAGTCTGTGTTGCATTGTTAGGATGCAGCTGGAGTTGTGGAACCTCTGGGAAGTCAGTGATTTAATAAAGCAATTTCACATTATGATCTCTGTCTTCTTCCTTGAGCAATTTTTCTTGCAGAGCATAGTCTGAATTGTCACAATATTTTCTTAACAGTGACATCAGATTTGTCTGATATCAAATATCTTGGATGCTCAATCTTGGAATTTTTAGCTACTATATTAGTATAAAAGTCTGAAGGA